CTGAACTATAATCAGACATTCACAGGTTCCTTTAAAGGGTTTATTCTTATTTGTTTTTGAGGCCACAGGAACTACATCTGAAACTGCTTGGATAGAAATTAAAAGCAAAAATTCTCCAACTTCTCAGTTGCAGTTTCTGTGACGTGATCATGTTCAGTTTTATTTCACAGTAAATGTTTGTGTTTTGGACAGTGTCATAACAAAGTCCATGTTTCCAGACATGTCACACATTTAACTCGTATATGAGATCAAAGCTGATGTGTGGATCTTCTGATGCAGATGTTTGAAAATCTGTCATGAATGATGAAATAGTTCAAACTTGACTCAACGTCTCAAAACTTCTACTGTTACTGAAGAACTTCATGTGATCATTCTTATTCAGTTATTCAGTTCATCTGTATAAAATGACCGTGAGTTTCAGTGAAATGCTCAGAAGCTTGACTTCGATAAGCCCAACCCTACAGCTGTGGATTCATATCTCCACGTTTACTGCCAGAGGCAACATTCACATTTAATACCTTCTCATTTTCACTTGGTCCAGTTTTTCTTTGTCTGTTGGACATTTAAATAAAACCAGTCACAGGTTTTACTGTCTTAGAAGTTTCCAGATGTTTTCTTGAAGAAATCCTTCAGTTAGCTGGTCTAAACCAACCCGAGCAGCAGAGAACCAGTTTAATCGGGCCCTTTATCTTGTCTCCAGGCTGCTTTAAGGATGACCGCATCGTGTTCTGGACCTGGATGTTCTCGACGTATTTCATGGAGAAGTGGGCGCCGCGGCAGGACGACATGCTGTTCTACGTCCGCAGGAAGCTGTCGTACGTCAGCGCCGACAACACCGAGGGCAAGAAGGTGAGCCGATGCTGACGTGGGGAGAGTCTGACTAAAACCTGCGACTGTCAGAGAATAACGTGATTAATGTGAACGAGCAGCAGCGTTAACTAAAGCAGATCCAACCCGAACCCTGACCCAGACGGGTCAGAGCTGGACCCGCAGAGAAAACGATGTTTACAGACCGACACGCTGCAGGTCAGAATATAGAAAGACTTTACAGCAGCAGCTCCTCCTTTAGGTCTCAGTGAAGTCAGACAGGACGAGTTCTGGGAGGCCTCAGAGTCCAGAACGCATCAGAACCACCTGCAGCAGAACATGGAGACACACTGCACGGACTCGGAGGAACTAGGGCTAGTCATAGAATAACAAGAACTAGTCACAAAGTAACTGGAAATAGTCACTGAATAACTAGAACTAGTCACAGAATAACTAGAACTAGTTACAGAATAACTAGAACCATTCATGGAATAACTAGAAGTAGTAACTACAGGTGTCGGTGCCTGTAATACAAACCAGACAGGTAGACTTGGCTGTCCCATCATAAACAGGTGTTCAGGTGTGTGTTCAGGTGTGTGCTCAGGTGTGTGTTCAGGTGTGTGTTCAGGTGTGTGCTCAGGTGTGTGTTCAGGTGTGTGTTCAGGTGTGTGTCAGGTGTGTGTTCAGGTGTTCTGGTGTGTGTTCTGCATTCTAACAGTGTGATGTTTCCTGCTACTCTGATTGGTCCGAGTCTAACTCTTGATCTGTAACGGACACTTTCTGATTGGACGTCATCAGTTGCTGTGCTGTTCTCTGATTGGTCGTGCTCTGGTCACATGACCCTTTACTGAAGCAAACGGTGACATCGTCTAGGACCAACAGTTTAACCTGAAGTCAGTCTGATGAGCCTCAGAAACGATAACAGCACAGAAGAAGTTACAAGAAGTCAGGATCAGCTGTTTGAGGACAACAGATGAAGGTAGCAACAGGCAGAGGAAGAAAACTCAAACACAAGCCCGCCAATAAAAGACTGAAGGTGGAACTTTGAGAACAAATGTCTTTATTCTGGAACAAAGAAGAAACATGAAGAGCAGAACCAGACTGGTTCACCTGTGAAGGACGAGGAGCCTCATTCGGTGAACAGACTCTCCGTCTGTCTTCTGGAGTTTGTCCTGCATCCCCCGCCGTCCCCGGTTACCATGGCAACACACCACTGCTCCACATCCAGCATCAGCACCAGCAGCTTTAACCCAGCAGACACTCTGAGGTCCAGCAGCTCCCGTCTCATGCTCCTTCACTCAGGTCCATGTCCTGCAGCTCTGTGGAACCGGAACCACATGAAGGAGGAGACGTCTGCTTGTGACCAGAACCAGAACCAGAACCCTGGAGATGAACGCTCATATGTGGAAACCAGGTCTGTGCTGTTTTAAATGTGTGTGTTTTCCAACCTGCTCTGATCTTCATTGATCCTGACCTACATTGGACCAGAACCATCACGGTCAGAATCCATTATCACCACAGGAACGTGTTGGTCTCCAGGCGTTAGACGGGCCCTTTGAGGTTACAGCCACTTATTGGAGCGGCCATGCGTCTGTCTTCAGAGACGCGACTCCGTTTGGCTTCATGACTCACTCACCTGTGTGATCGTCCAATGAGCTGCGAGCTCCTGTTCAGGTGAACAGCGTCCGTCTGCTCCACGCTTTAGTTTCACTTCTCTGAATCAGGATGTGAGCCCAGTGTAAATGTCAGCCTGTCTGTTTCGCTGTCCGTCAGTTCACCACACACAGCGTTACCACGGCAACCACTCCTGCACTCTAATTGGTCCGTGAGTGATATGAATCTTGGCAGGTGTAAACCTCGTATCTCTCTGACCTGAAACCGAAGAACAAAACATCAGGAACGAGGATGTGGGTTTAGTTTCACTGTAGATGGACAGAACCACATCCAGGAACCGGTGACTGGTACCACTATGAAGACATCCCATAATACTGATGCTACCAGCTGCTGACAGAGGACATGAACAGAACCAGATCCAGGGTTCAGAGTGGGACACCTGGATGGATGTGGAACTGATCTGGAGTCAGTTTTACATCCATCCAGGTGTCTCCGTCTGAAGGTACAACTCTGGTCACAGAGATGAGTCCATGTTTGAGCTGACAGTGGCTCATCAGGAGGTTCTGGTTCTGACCCAGGCTGTGGGTTCAGTACCAGCAGTCAGCGTGTTGTGGTTCTGATGGTTCTGACCCAGGCCTTGGTTCTGTTTCAGGTGGAGGTGGAGGTCTACAGGAGGGACTCGAAGAAGCTGCCGGGCCTGGGAGACCCGGACATCGACTGGGAGGAGAGCGTCTACCTGAACCTGATCCTGCAGAAGGTGAGGAAGCTCCAGTCGATCCAGAATCACAGCAATCAGGTCGAGTCCGGATCAGTTTAGACTTTATTCATCTGAACCGTAGCACCAACAGAACCTGGTCTACTCAGAACATCTTGGAAGGTTCTTGGCAGGAAGGTTGGGCCTGCAACAGGTCTGCCTCTTCAGCTAAGCTCTGGATGTGGTTAGGACTGGTTTCTACTAGTTTAGACCAGTTTAAACTGGGCTATATCCGTTTCTGGACTGGTTTTAGACTTGATTTGAGCCAGTTTAGACCAGTTTCTGGACTGGTTTTAGACTTGGTTTGA